AAAAAAAAAAAAAAAAAAAGAATGGGCCGTGCGCGGTGGCTCACGCCTGTAATCCCAGCACTTTGGGAGACCGAGGCGGGTGGATCACGAGGTCAAGAGATCGAGACCATCCTGGTCAACATGGTGAAACCCCGTCTCTACTAAAAATACAAAAAATTAGCTGGGCATGGTGGTGCGTGCCTGTAATCCCAGCTACTCAGGAGGCTGAGGCAGGAGAATTGCCTGAACCCAGCAGGCGGAGGTTGCGGTGAGCCGAGATTGCACCATTGCACTCCAGCCTGGGTAACAAGAGCAAAACTCTGTCTCAAAAAAAAAAAGAAAAGAAAAAAAGAATGCAGTAAATGGGATCTACACTGATTAACATTAGGCACGCGCCTCTACCTGAAACTGCTGTCAGATTCTGATTGGCCTAAATCTTTATAACTTATTTAGGCACATCAGTGAATTTTTTTGTATCCTGATATATAGGGCGAGTTAACTTCTTTGTGGCAGTCTAGTAATAAAAATTATGTTCACTGGCTAGATTCCTTTATAACTAAAGGCCTCTAGACTCACACTGCCTACCCGACCTTGAGACTAGACTTAATATGGATATTTAAGTAAATCACCATAGAGGAAAGGCAGATCATCAAGAAAACTTAAGTGTACTGTATAAACACTCTTACAGATCTTTTTCTCTAGCATTTTTAATCAAGCACAAGATAAGGATGCCAAATTTTTCTTCCCCCATTACTGCCCTTTCTAATAGACAAGGATCTCCCCTGAAATCAGAAATGATTCCACACAAATGAGACATTTTTACATATGTGGTCCCACTATCACAATTTTAGGAAGCAGTTAATGGGGCTTGGAGAAAAGCATAGTCCCATATACAGTAATATGCGTCTAATAGAGTTTTCCGTTCATTTGTCAATTATTTTCACAAGATTAGCATTAAAAATGCAAGCAAACATAGGACCCTCGAGCTCTACAGACAAAAAAATTTGTCTTTGTTCCTTCTCAAATGACAGGATGTCCCAAGAGTAACAAAAGATGGCAGCCAATCTTCAATCAGCTGTTTCTTCAGTCATCCCCATCAACAGCTCTTCACTCCTTAAACGACTTTCCTTTTCCAAAGAGGTAATGCTGAGACCAGTCAGAAGGCTTTCTGAGAAGCCTGGCTTGGATTTCTGCGCCTGTTCCAGTCGATTCAAGATGAACTGGCTTGTATCAATGAAGCGCTCAACGCAGTTCACAAAACAGGCCTCAGCCCGACTGTCCAACGGTGGCCCAGGCTTGTCCACGCACTTCTGCCAAGAACGTTCAGTCGTCTGGTGCACCAGCTGCTGGGAGCGCTGCTTTTGAGTCTTTGCCTCGATGAAATGCTGCAACTGCGGGTCCACTGCACCCAAACCCGCCGCGGAGGAAGGGGAGGAGGAATCCATCCCAGGGCGACCACGCTTGCAGAGACGAACTCTGTACCAACTACGAAAAACCCTTTTAATAAAGGAAGCATTGGTTAGAACAGGGGTCCCCAACCCCCAGCGCTGGTCCGTGACCTGTTAGGAATGGGGCCGCACAGCAGAAGGTGACCAGCGGCGAGAAGGCTTTACCGCCTGAGCTCCGCCTCCTGTCAGATCAGCGATGACATCAGATTCTCATTGGAGCACAAACCCTACTGTGAACTGTACATGCGAGAGATCTAGGTTGCACGAGAAATCTAGGTTGCACGAGAGATCTAGGTCGCACGAGAGATCTAGGTTGCACGAGAAATCTAGGTCGCACGCTCCTTATGAGACTCTAGTGAATGCCTGATGATCGGATGTGAAACAGTTTCAGAGTGAAACCATCAGCCCACACCTACCACCCCACCCTCACCCCATCTGTGGAAAAATTGTCTTCCATGCAACCAGTCCCTGGCGCCAAAACTGCTGGAGACCACTGGCTTAGAATATGCAAAAGAGTATTGCCCCCAATGCAAACTATGGACTTTGGCTGATAATAGCATGTCAGTGTCAGTTCATCAGTTGTAATAAATGTACCATTCTGGAGAGAGATGGTGATAGTTGAGGAGGCTATGCATGTGTAGAGGCAAGGGGTATATGAGAACTTTTTGTACTTTCTGTTCAACTTTGCTGTGAATCTAAAACTACTCTAAAAAATAAGGTCTATTTTTAAAAAAGGCATATTGCCTCCAGAGTGGGGAAAAAAAGAGCCATTGACTAATAGCTGCTTTTATCCTGCCTAAAAAAATTAAAAATCCAGCTTGAAAAGAAGCAAATTGTTCTTTAGGTAACTTTATTGTATACCAAACAAAGCTAAACCAATTTTAACACAAAATGCAAAAAGTTCAGCACTCAATAAGTTACAATTGGCACTAACACCAAATCAAATAATGTTAGGAATGCAGAGAGACAGAAAACTAAGATCTGTGATGAGAGGGGAAAAAAATCAATCCACTTTAACTGACTTAGAAAGGATACATCAGATGAGAATTAAACACAATAGGAAGGACACAGATGACAGAATTTGTAGAGAAGGACATTGAAACAAATGTAACTATATTCCTTGTATTAAAGAAACTAGGCTGGATGCAGTGGTTCATACTCCCAGCACTTTGGGAGGCCAAGGTGGGCGGGCCAGCAGAGGTCAGGAGTTCGAGACCAGCCAGGCCAATATGGTGAAACCCCATCCCTATGGAAAATATGAAAATGAGCTAGGTATGGCAGCACGTGGCTGTAAACCCAGCTATTCAGGAGGCTGAGGCACAGGAGTTGCTTGAACCCGATATGTGAAGGTTGCAGTGAGCTGAAATGCCACCACTGCACTCCAGCTTGGGCAACAGAATGAGACTCTGTCTCAAAAAATAGAATCAAATAAAATGAAGAAGATAGAGGAAAATATGAAATGAGGAGAAGTTACATGAGACATTTTTTAAAAAGACCTAAATTAAAGTTAGATGAAAAATCCAGCCTGAGATGAAAAAACACTGGCTAGGACTAACAGCAGATTAGATGCTGCTAAAGAAAGATTCATCAATTCCAAGACAAGGAAGTAGAAAGAAACAAAGAGAGAAGAAAAGATACAACAAAAATGGACAGACCATTAGTCAGCTGTGGTAATTTCAAAACAGCTAACACAAATATAATTGGAGTCTTTGAAGGAGAGGGTAGAGATAAAAAATAAAACATATATACATTTGATATATATATGCCATATATATGATATATTATACATCCCATATATAATGTATGTCATTATTATTCAAATTTGCTGAGAACTATAAACATGCAGATTCAAGAAACTAAATGAAGTAAAGCAGTATGTAAAACATAAAACTATACAAGGTCTTATAATCAAATTACTTAAAACCAGTGAAAAATAGAAAATCTCAAAAGCAGCCAAAGAAAAAAACATATTATGTACAGAGGAACAAAAGTAAGAATTAGTGGAATATCACTTTTAAACCCCCCCTTTTTTTTTTTTTTTGATAAAGACGGGGTTTCACCATGTTGGTCAGGCAGCTCTTGAACTCCCGACCTCAGGTGATCCACCCGCCTTGGCCTCCAAAGTGCTTGGATTACAGGCGTGAGCCACTACGCCAGGCCTAAAACCCTTTTTAAAAACAAAAACGAAACTGTCAATAGAATCCTACATGCAGTGAAAATATCTTCCAGAAATTAAGGGGAGTTCTTATGCTCATCAAGATGAAGTAATCCACTATACTCTAGCTCTCTTACTGACTGAAACAGAACTCTCAGGCCAGGCACATTGGTTTGCACCTGTAATCCCAGAACTGAAGGTGAATCACTTGAGCTCAGTCGTTCAAGACCAGCCTGGGCAGCATGGCGAAGCCCTGTCTCTACAAAAAATATAAAAATTAGCCAGGGATGGTGGTACACGCCTGTAGTCCCAGCCACTTGGGAGGCTGAGGTGGGAGGATTGCTTAAGCCCAGGAGGCAGAGATTGCAGAGCCCAGATCGTGCCCCTCCACTCTAGCTTGGGTAAGAGAGCAAGGCTCTGTCTCAAAATAAACAACAAGACTAAGAACTCTTGAAAGAATATTAAATGTGATTACCTCAGTGCTCTAAAGAGAAAGCAATAGAAGGCAGATTTAGGACCATAGTCCAAACTAAGATAAAATCTACAATGGAGATAACTTTGTATTTTTTCTCCCCACTTTGGGGGACTTGGGAGGAGCTAAGGGTCTTCAGAGCCTGTAGCCAGCTTACCTGTTGCGAGGTTTCTGGCAAGGATCTCTGTCGGCTGGCTTCCTTCTACCATTTGCTCACAGAGTCTCTGTCTCTGCTCGTAGGCAATGCCAGTGTTCCTGAGGAGGCCCTCAAAAGACTTGACTGTGTTCTTCACATGCTGGGTGAAAAGGCAGCAGACACCTCTCCCTTCCTGTATCTTCTGCCGTAAGTGGGTTAGTTCTTCAGCCTGAGCCTGGATTAAGGGATCATGTATTCTAAGATGGGAAAGAAGAGTAAAATGTGAGAGGGAATGTGGTGAATAACAGGTTATAGGCGTTTCAGAGGACAGATCTCTTAGAATCCCCGTAAGGAACTTCCCAAGGTGAATTCTCTCTCTTTTTTTTTTTTTTTTTTGAGACAGTCTCACTCTGTCACTCAGGCTGGAGTGCAGTGACACGATCTTGGCTCACTGCAACCTCCACCTCCTAGGTTCAAGCGATTCTCTTGCCTCAGCCTTTCAAGTAGCTGGGACTACAGATGCCCACCACCATGCCAGGCTAATTTTTATATCTTCAGTAGAGATGGAGTTTTGCCATGTTGGTCAGGCTAGTCTCAAACTCCTGACCTCAAATGATATGTGTCCCTCAGCCTCCCAAGGTATGAACCATCACACATGGCCCAAGATGAATTCTTCTGCACATTGTTTGACTTACCTGTGGGAGAGGAAATGAAGAAACAGCCTCAGGTTTGTCTGTTTTTTTTTTTTTCCTAACTCTACTTTAAAAAGATGCCCCTTTAATTCCCCACTTTAGCCCAAGCACATTTTCATACAATATACATCAATCATTATGCAGTAAATGGCAAAAAAAAAAAGGGCAGGTTCAAAAGTGTTGGGCAGGTATCTCTGGTATTAATTGAGTTAAAAAGAAAAATCAGTGAAAAGGTCAAGGATAGTATTCTTTTGAATGACATGAAGAAAGCCATAACCAGTAAGAAGGCAATTTAAACTAAAGTTCTAGCCGGGCATACTGGCTCACACCTGCAATCCCAGCACTTTGGGAGGCCAAGGAGGGTGAATCACCTGAGGTTGGGAGTTCGAGACTGGCCTAGCAAACATAGTGAAACACCATCTGTACAAAAAATACAAAAATTAGCCGGTGTGGTGGCATGCACCTGTATTCTCAGCTGCTTGGGAGGCTGAGGTGGGAGGATTGCTTGAACCTGGGGTGGGAAGTGGAGGTTGCAGTGAGCTGAAATTATGCCACTGCACTCTAGCCTGAGCAATGAACTCTATCTCCAAGAAAAAGAAAAAAGTAAAGTTCTGAGTAGTAATTTCATTACTCTGTGTAGGATTTCATTATTTTCTAATTATTGTATGAATATTTCTGATGGTGACATGGTTTGGCTCTGTGTCCCCGCCCAAATCTCATGTTGGATTGTAACCCCCAATGTTGGGGAGGGACTTGCTGGAGAGTGACTGGATCCTGGGGACGGATTTTCCCCTTGCTGTTCTCGTGAGGGTGAGTGAGTTCTCACGAGGTCTGCTTGTTGGAAAGGGTAGCACCTCCCTCTTTGCTCTGTCTCTCTCTCCTGTTCTGGCCATGTGAAGATCATGCCTGCTTCCCCTTCGACTTCCGCAATGATAATAAGTTTCCTGAGGCCTGCCCAGAAGCAGAGCCTGTACAGCCCACAGAACCATGGGCCGATTAAACCTCTTTTCTTTATAAATCAGTCTCAGTCTCACATATCAGTCCTAGGCATGTATTTATAGCAGTGTGAGAATGGGCTAATACACAGGGGTTTCAATGTAGAGTGTGAGCTCTGTGAATCTAAAGACAGCGCCACCTATTACCCAACGTACAGCACCCAGCAGTATGTACACACACAAGGGGTTACTCAGTTAATGTGTAGAACCGTGTAGTCGCAGAGCTGGAGTGAACATTTACAGTCATCTACGCCGTCTAATGCCTGAATGCCTCCCTGCTATGCTGTTTTTCTAAGTAGTTATCTACAGGATCACCTTTCAAACTCTAGTCCTTAGAGTTTCTAGAAAGTGTCAGGGGAAGTTAAGACATACACTGAGCAGAAACAGGTTCCACACCTAACCCCCCTTCAATCAAATATCTCTGCTTTGGTGAGTTTTACACATTTGAGTGTCTATGATTTCATTTCAACAAAGGATTAAAAGAAGTTTTGAATACTACAATCTACCTTATGTCTGAAACTCTCTAAGGACAGGCAGTGCTGGTCCTGAGCAAATTCATAATTCATTTTCCACACAACAGCTGCTCAATCATCTATCCAACAGCCCTACCAGTTAATACTCCACCTAGGATAATGCTTTAAAAAAAAAGCTTGGAGAAGAAATATTCTATCATGAAGGGCAATTCAGAAGGCTTGAAAATAATCTCTATGAAAAATGTTAGTCCATAAATGATGATCACCACATCTATAAATGGGAACAGATACAATCCTAACAGAAAATTGTTGTTCAGGGTTTTATATGCATTAGAGATGGTTCTAACTACTTGTAGTTGTGCATGTAATCTTCATAACCCCCTAAGGTAGATACTGTCCGTATATTCATTTTATAAATGAGGTAGCCTAGGTAAATGACATGCAGAAAAGTGAAGTAAATTTGACCAAGGCCACAGACAGAAGCCACATTGCCAGTATTCCAACGCAGGCAGCCGTCTCCGTGTTATTAATATGCTACAATGGAAAACCCTACAGACCTAACTGCGCCATAGCCTCATTGTGCCATAGTCTAGTTCTGTGTCTGCTTGTACAGTTCTGCCCTTCTCCTTGCACAAATTTGCTCTTTATTCTACCAGCCTGGGCTGCCCCACTTCAGACAGTATTGATTCGCTTCCCGCAGAGGCACCTCCTTACCGCAGCCTTGCAGCTGCTCTCGGCAACTCAGCCAGTCCCGCTCCTCAAACTCAGCTCCTCCTCCAGCAGACTCGTAAGATCTTTGTCCTCTTCACTCTGAGAAAAGACAGGCATGCTGCGTCAGTGGGAGGCTGGACATGCTGCTGCGGGGTCACTGCCTGCAGCGCAGGACGCAGGGTCTATCTCAAGGATAAAAGTATCCCCAGTACCAGGCTTTACACTGGGATTTCCACATCTTTATTCCTCAATCTCTCAACCACTCCCCGTTTTAGAGATGAGGAAAGAAAAGCCCACAGGCAGATAAAGTAACTTAACAAGATGATTCAACTGAAATGAGGTAAAGTCAGAATTCACATCCCTGGGGTCTGACTCCAAATCTTTTTGTTTGTTTGTTTGAGCTGGAGTCTCAGTTCTTTGCCCAGGCTGGAGTGCAGTGGCACGATCTCGGCTCGTTGCAACCTCTGTCTTCGGTTTCAAGCAATTCTGCCTCAGCATCCCAAGTAGCTGGGATTACAGGTGTGCACCACCACACCCAGCTGATTTTTGTATTTTTAGTAGAGACAGGTTTCATCATGTTGTCCAGGCTGGTCTCAAACTCCTGACCTCAAATGATCCTCCCACCTTGGCCTCCCAAAGTGCTGGGTTTACAGGCATGAGGCACCATGACCAGCCATGACTTCAAATCTTCAGGCCAGTGTACCAAGCCTTACAGCCCCTTAAGTAAAACATGAACATGAGGGAATGAAATAATGACTTCCTGTGTGTTTGGGGAGACACTAAGGAGTCTAGGACTGATGGTTCTCCTGTTTCAAGAGTCTCAGTAATCCCAAAATATTTCAAAGATTTAAACATTCATCTAGATAGAACTGTGTAAAACTGTATACGGAGGAGAAAGATCCAAATGACATATGTTAACAGGTGGTGTTTTAAAGGGAGAACCAACACAGCGTTCGTCATGGTGCTGCCGCAGTAGGTTTGTAAGAATTATCATCAGGTGACCATCGCCACTATCCAGAGAGGTTGTTACTAATCTATTACCAGCACAGATGAGAAAACTGAGGCACAGTGACGATCAGTTAGATTTGAACCCTGGAAATTTGGCTCTGGGGTGTATGCTCATTAATCATTGCACAATAATACCTTTATACTAAGTTCTTAGGTAATATTTTTCTTCTTCTCTAGCTTGAGGAAATTTTGTCCTACAATGGTAATGGTAATGATAATGAATGAAGTTTAAAAAGAGATGAGTTTTTCCACACACCAAAGCGCATCCTTTCAGTTCTTTAACAAGTGGGCTTTTGGCTTTACTTTCTATGACAGTAAGTCGGACAGCAACTTTTAGCCACCCACCCCCTGCAATGATTTATTTTAAAGTAACTGTAGAAATTGGAATGTTAACCAGAGTCCTCCTCCAAATCCCTGTTCCTCTCATGCCCTTGTTCCCATGTTTCCTTGTCATTACAGCGTCTCCCTTCCCCCACTGTTAGTAACGGGTTTGGGATTTTGCAGTGGATTTACCACTGTGAGAGCTGACTGTGGAGAGGAAAGGGCCAGCCTCTGCCCTGGCCTGGCCTTCTCCTGTGAACAGCGGTCTGCTGCACTTGGTCTTGTTCTTATTATGGCCATGTGTCTCACAGCTCTGATCCGGGAGGTCCACCTGCAGTTGCTTGCTGTCCGCAAAGCTGGTATTCAGGGAGAGACAGAAAGGCTGTTGCAAAGTCTCTGATTTTCTGGAAATTCCTCAATCTAACCAGAGCATGAGGAATGGCTTATTTGAACTTATATGGGAAGAGAATCTTGATCCAGGCGTCAGGACTTTTCTCCGTGTCTGCTATTGAAGTTCCCGTGTCCGCATACCTGTGACTTATTGACAACAGGCAGTTTTCAGTCCCTTCGAGGCAGCAGGGCCACTATTACTTCTTTCAGCCCTGGGGCTGCTGGCACGGTGCTTTGCAAATGGGTGCTCTTAAAAAAGTTGAAATGGAATCCTGAGATGTTTTAACCAACAGTGGTATTACATGTCTGTAAAGCTGATGTGGATCGCTGAGAGGAAGAGTTTCATCCCTACACCAAGGTTTTAGTCTCTATTCCTCGCTGCGCTCTCCTGCAAATTTTACAGCTCTGTGCTTCAGCTTTTCTGTCCTCAGCAAATCGAGAGTAAAATGCCCACTTCGACCTTCCTGGGAGTGCCGTCAGGATACAGTTAATTTTGACAGATAATAAAGTCTGCAGTGTTTCATTACACAGAGGAAAGATGGACGATCATTTATCACTTTGGTGACCGTGCCCCTAGGGGACCTACTGTATTTCTGCAGGTGGTTGGCCAGGGAGTAGGCAGTAGCCTTGGATGTCACGAATGTCTCTTTGAGGTCTCGGAAGTTCTGCTGGCATTTTTCCCGTTCAGAGCACAAGTACTGATTGGTTTCCAGGATGCTCATTTCTGCCCTTGGACCAAAACAAGTGGTGGGAGATACTGCCATGCTGCAGCTTGTGGAGGACGTAGAGCCAGAGCCCAAGGAGAAGAAACCAGACAAATAATACATTCGAAACAAATAGGCTGGGCGCAGTGGCTCACGCCTGTAATCCCAACACTTTGGGAAGCCAAGGCGGGCGGATCATGAGGTCAAGAGATCGAGACCATCCAGGCCAACATGGTGAAACCCGTTCTCTACTAAAAAATACAAAAAATTACCTGGGCATGGTGGTGGCGCTTGTAGTCCCATCTACTCGGGAGGCTGAGGCAGGAGAATTGCTTGAACCTGGGAGGCGGAGGTTGCAGTGAGCTGAGATCGTGCTGCTGCACTCCAGCCTGGCGCCTGGTGACAGAGTGAGACTCTATCTAAAAATAAATGAATAAATGAAAAAAAATAAAACGAATGGATTGTAGTAATGCTTGCACTACTTGGGTAAATTACTAAAAATTATTGAACTCCACAATTATAATGGGTAATTTTATAGTATGTAAATTATACCTCAATAAAGACTCTACATTTAAAAAAAAAAAAAAGGATTTAAACAGGTCTAAAGAAAGCAGATCTGAGTCACAACGTACTTTTGGGATGAACTCTGTCAGCATCCCACAACTCTGAATATCCTTAGCCACAAACACAAGGCAGAGGTGGCTAAGCTTAGAGTCTAAGGTACTGTCTGGGCTTCAGACTCTGATAGGAAGGCCAGAGGTAAGACCAAGTTTGTGGTAACGGTCTGGAGTCACAATAACAGAACTAGAAGGTGGGGGCATCGTGGAATATTAGGATCTCTGCCTTCTAGGTGCCTAGGCCATATGGAAATGCAATGTCTCTTCTGAAGTCACCACCAGCAGAGACCACGCCCTCAGCAGTCATTCTCAGCCTTTGTACGCCCTTGTGACAATACCACAGGCCTCTCTCTTTCTAAAATGTACGCACATGTTCATTGTTTATTATTGCCAATGCACAGAAAACATCAAGGAATACGTATTTCCCAAGTCCTAGCATTGTCTCGAGGACGGTCATGAAGTCATTTTTTTCCTAATTATAAATTTACCACTTTTAGATAGTCTTGGTATTCCTCTTTGTTCTCCAGTTTTCCACATCATTTTGATACTATAAGAAAAAACCCTGGGCCAGGCGTGGTGGCTCACGCCTGTAATCCAAGCACTTTGGAGGCCAAGGCAGGCGGATCACCTGAGGTCGGGAGTTCAAGACCAGACTGACCAACATGGTGAAACTCCGTCTTAAAAAAAAAAAAGAAAAGAAAAAACCCTGAATATTCTGTTCAGTGTGTGAATAATTTACTCATAAGGATTTCGAGGCCAGGGGCAGTGGCTCACACCTGTAATCCCAGCACTTTGGGAGACCAAGGTGGTCTCCACCTTGGTTTGAGACCAACCCGGGAAGGGCAGCGAAACCCTGCCGCTACAAAAAATTTTTAAAACTTAGCCGGGCATAGTGGTGCACACCTGTAGTCCCAGTGATTCAGGAAACGGAGGTGAAAGGATCGCTTGGGTCCAAGAGTTTGTGGCTGCAGTGAAGCGAGACCATGCCCATGCACTCCAGTCTTGATGACAAAGTGAGACCCTGTCTCAAAAAATAAAAACAAATAAAAAATAAAAGGCTTTTGGTCAATGTCTTAATGTTCTTATTGCTGCAAACCAACGTTGTACTGGCATCTTTTTCCCCACTGGGGAAGCATGTTAGGTTTTGTAATTTGTTTTTGTAATAGACAAGGTCTAGCTCTGCTGCTCAAGCTGGAGTGTAATGGTGTGATCACAGCTCACTGCAGCCTCAAACCCCAGCCTCAAGAGATCCTCCTGCCTCAGCATCCTGAATTGTGGGACTACAGGCACATGTCACCACACTCAGCTATGTGTGTGTGTGTGTGTGCGTGTGTGTGTGTGTGTAAATGGGGTCTCACTATGTTGCCCAGGCTGGTCTCAAACTCCTGGGCTCAAGTTATTCTCACATCTCGGCCTCCCAAAGTGCTGGGATCACAGGCGTGAGCACCACCCCTGGCCCATGCTGCCTTTTCATTTAACTAGAAGACAAGTTTGATATTTGTAACCCCTAACCCCACTCTCCTCTTCTATGTGTCAGTTGCTTTGTGTTATAATCTCGAAATACGTATTTTGTGCTCGTCACTTAGGATTTTCATTTTAACTCCACAGGCTCTCTTTCCAATTTGCCACAATCACTGAAAGTATTTATATATATGTATCTCTTTAAATACGTGTAGTAGCACCTAATTTGGAATGACTTATAAACCGTTGCTATTTCATATGTTTGAAGCAGTTTTTATGGAACACTAATGATTTGCACTGGCCCAAAGCCATTGGCCTGAGGATACACTCTCAGATGCAGTGTGGTAAAAATCAAGGTCATGGGTTTGTGGCAGTTGGTGGTGATCCACGGCTTTCCTGGGGTTTAGTGGGATAGAAGCCGAGGTTTTAACGACAGGCACACATAGGCAGAAGAGAAGCAATGCCCTGACACACCCCCTCACTTCTGTGTATCACTTCCTCCCTGGTTTTGTGAGACTGACACTAGGGAGACTCTTTTTTTTTTTTTTTTTTTTTTTTTTTGAGACGGAGTTTCGCTCTTGTTACCCAGGCTGGAGTGCAATGGCACGATCTCGGCTCACCGCAACCTCCGCCTCCTGGGTTCAGGCAATTCTCCTGGGTTCAGGCAATTCTCCTGCCTTAGCCTCCCAAGTAACTGGGACTACAGGCATGCGCCACCATGCCCAGCTAATTTTTGTATTTTTAGTAGAGACGGGGTTTCACCATGTTGACCAGGATGGTCTTGATCTCTTGACCTCGTGATCCACCCATCTCTGCCTTCCAAAGTGCTGGGATTATAGGCGTGAGCCACCGCGCCCGGCCTGGAGACTCTTATGGAATATCTATCTTTTCCCTTCAGCTGCCTGACTTTCCTGGGCTACTGGCCTACACATGTGTAACCCTGGTCACCTCCATTTTCATGACAAACTGAAGGAAGGAGGCTAACAACCAGCAGACCCTCCATGCTAACCTGCAACTCTCCTGTGTGAGAGAATTAGTTAGTGAGATGCCTCAAAAACTATGTGGTTTCAATCCTTTTACATTTGTCATGATTTATTTTAAGGGCTAGAATATGGTCTATCCTATAGAACGTCCCATGTGTACTGGAGAGGAAGCGTATTCTGTTCTTGTTGGGTGGAGTATTCTATAGATGTCTGGTATGTTGTGTTGTTTACATCTTTTATTTCTTTATTGATCTTCTGCCTAGTTGCTCTACCCATTATTGAAAATGTGGTATTAAAGTCCCCACCTACTATTGTCGAATTGAATTGTCTAGTTCTCCCTTCTTTTTTTTTAACTAATAACTTCAATTTTTAATAATGGAAACAATTTTGCCATTCTAGAAACAATGTTAGGGGAGAAAAATCTTCCCTACAAAAATAAATTTAAACCCATCAAAATTATAAATATTATAATTTTTACTTCTGCCACTTAAAATGCTGTCCTGCGATACTGCCCCTTCATTTAACATCGTTCCTGTCCCATCACATACTGAAAACAGTATGACAGCAAAGCTTAGCTAGTTGAACATAACGATTTGTACAATGATTCTTAAAAAGTCTTTGGCCTTAGTGGCCTTTTCTCTTCACTTACACATTAAAAATGCTGCTGCAATAACCAGTGTTTGGGCAAAAACGTCAGTCTTCAAGAACCATGAACTGACAGAATTTCAATACAGTAAGTTTCCAAATTGCAATTTGTAGCGCACACGACAGTGAGCGAGGTTCTGGATGAATACAGATGAGGATGCCTAGTCAGACAGTCTATTTAAAGTAGTTAAAAAAAAATTCACAGATACCCATCAGCTACTACTTTATGTCCTAACAGTGTCTTAATCTGAGAAGCAAATGCCTCACAAATGTAAGTTTACTGGGATGAATGATCAAAAAACCAGGTGGCTGACAACAATATACTCAAACCCAGGCCACAGTCTGAGTAGCAAAATCAGCATAAAAATCACAAAGGCATTCCCTGAACAGTAAAGGTAAAGTGCTGGATGACAATGTCACTAAAACCTCATCAATGTCCTAAAGAGAAGTCACATGCAAAATTAAACAAGATGTGCCATACATATTTTGTAGCTGCTAATTCTGTTTTTTTTTTCAACATTCCTTAAATGCTTAGGAAGATAAGATCGTCTCAGTAAATTGTGTGGCACAGCGTGACAACTTAAGTCTGCCTCCAACAAGATGGGTATTCTCTGAAAAGTAAATCCCATTTGAATTCATGGTCATCTTCAACGTGTCTGTGACTGCTAAGTTGCACTTACGAACTTTCTCTTTGATCTCCACTTTGCTGAGGTAACTGGATTTCCTTCTCTATTTTTTTTTTTTTTTTTTGCACAGAGTCTCGCTCCATTGCCAGGCGCCAGGCTGGAGTGCAGCGGGGCGATCTCGGCGCACTGCAACCTCCACCTCCTGGGTTCAAGCAATTCTCCTGCCTCAGTCTCCCGAGTATCTGGGATTACAGGCACGCACCACCATGCCCAGCTAATTTTTGTATTTTTAGTAGAGACGGGGTTTCACCATGTTGGCCTGGATGGTCTCGATCTCTTGACCTCGTGATCCGCCCGCCTCGGCCTCCCAAAGTGCTGGGATTACAGGCGTGAGCCACCGCGCCCGGCCTGGTTTCCTTCTCTTTCTCAGCATTGCCCTGGGCGCTCTCCTGAAGCAGCAGGTCCTGGCGGTGAAGTCCTCCGCAACCCCCTCCAGACCGCTGTAGCCGCTGCTCAAGCTGCCGGTCCCACCGCGCTCGGGCTGCCAGGCAGGCACCGGGCAGGGGGTGCCGCGCGCGCCCCGCGAGGTTCCCCGGGCGCGGTTTCCCGCGTCCTGCTGCAGCTGCTGCCGCCGCCGCTCCGCCCTCTGCCTTCAATTCTGTCAGCGTTTGCTTCCCGTGTTTTGAGGCTCCGTTAGATGCATCTGTGTTTATAACTGCACTTTCTTC